GCCCCGCCCTCACCCCTTCCCCACCCCACCCGCTCTCTCCCCTCCCTTCTCCCTGCCCCTCCTCCCTGCTAGGCCCCAGCCCCTGATCCCCTGCGGGTCACCTCCGCTCTGGCCCCCACCCGTAGCCCGTCTCCTCCTTCCCTCGCTCTGCTCCGCTCTCTTGCTCGCTCCCTCGGGGAGGAAGCGCGCTGTGGAGCAGCCCTGCAGGGCCCACCCCAGAGCAGAACTTCATCCCAGAGGAAGAAGGGCACTTAGGCCAGCCTTTGTTGACCCCTGAGGGCTGCGCCTGCCCTGTACCCCGGGGAGTACGTTCGGGCCGTGGAGTGACCCAGCTCCTCTCCTGCCATGAACAGGGCACCCCTCAAGCGGTCCAGGATCCTGCACATGGCGCTCACCGGAGCCTCCGACCCCTCCGGAGAGGCCGAGGCAGGCAGCAGGGAGGTGCCCTTCCTGCTGCGGGCCCTGCAGATCGCGCTGGTGGTCTCTCTCTACTGGGTCACTTCCATCTCCATGGTGTTCCTCAACAAGTACCTGCTGGCCAGCCCCTCCCTGCAGCTGGACACGCCCATCTTTGTCACCTTCTACCAGTGTCTGGTGACCGTGGTGCTATGCAAGGGCCTCAGCGCCCTGGCCATCTGCTGCCCGGGCACGGTGGACTTCCCCGCCCTGCGCCTGGACCTCAGGGTGGCCCGCAGCGTCCTGCCACTGTCTGTGGTCTTTATCGGCATGATCACCTTCAATAACCTCTGCCTCAAATACGTCGGTGTGGCCTTCTACAACGTGGGCCGCTCGCTCACCACCGTCTTCAACGTACTGCTCACCTACCTGCTGCTCAAGCAGACCACCTCCTTCTACGCCCTGCTCACCTGTGGCGTCATCATCGGTGAGTGGCTGCAGGGGACAGGGCAGACATGGGGGCTGAATCCGTAAAGAACAACCCTTCCAGGCATCTTTGGATGTAATCTGTGCCATCTTCCTTGGTTCAACAGTCATTCAAAGAAGAACGTGGGGCCGGGAGAGACCAAATAACCTGCTTCTGATCAGCCTGCAGGTTAGGAACCCCACCAGGGCAAAAGTAGTAACAATCATAATAGCAATAGCTACAGCATAAGATGCTGACATTGATTATTTAAAATGAGCCAGGCACCCATATCTAAGCACTTTACCCATATTAATGCAACTAACCCTCATAAGAAGGTGGGCTTACTATCCACAATTTACAAGTGAAAACCAAGGCCCCAGAGGTTGAGTGACTTGTCCAAGAGCACACAGCTGAGCTGGAATCTGAACTCAAGCAGTCTTGCTTGATAGGTCGCTGTCTTGACCACTCTACCATGTTGCTTCTCAAGGGCTCAAGTGCCCTGATTGCCTGTCCAGTTCTCTTTGCAGAGGACATTGCATCTTTCAATAAATCTACTGTCACCCTCTGGCCTTGCTGGCTCAGAGCAAAACCTGAGACCATGGCCTTACCTGTCATCCCGAACTTACTTGTCAGAGAATAAGAATTGTTGAGGAGGACGTTGTGCTAATCATCTCACATAGAACATCTTTGTCCAGAAGTTCTGAGTGCTAACAGCCCTTGGATCATCAAACTGAGGCTCGGAGAGATTAAGTTACTCACCCAGGGCCACATATCTAAGTCCAGATTGGCCAGACTCCAGCCCTTGTCCACCCAAGGTTAGAGTTCCACTGTCCGATACACTGGCTATGTGCATATGTAAATTAATTACAATGAAATGCAAATTTAAGGGCTGCTCACTGGCTTAGATCACCTCCAGCACTCCATTCCCTCCACCCTCCTGGCCCTGCCTCTCAAGAAATGTGAATTCTCTTTGCACCTGCTCAGGTTTCTCAGTACTGTCCGTGAAGTTTGTCTTACGTGGCCTACATACTCTCCCTGGTGTCTCAGAGTCCCAGGCTAGGTGCTCAGTTCAGGGGGAAGGGCCCATCCATACCATCTGTCCTAGAAAACATTTGCCTTCTTAGGCAGCTGCTCCATCTAGGGCTGCTCAGTCTTAGGCCCAGAGGGGAGCAGAAGGAGGGCCAGGGTACTGTGTGAGGGGCTGGTGCTCCCCTCTCTCCTGAGGAGCTGGTCAACTCACTTCCTCTCTGCCCTCCCTGGAGGCGGAGGCCGGGTGGGAGGCCTCAGTCCTGGAGGGAGGATTTGCATCTGAGAATGGGAAACTGCTAGGGAAACTGAGCCCAAGTCCAGAAATAACCCAGGTAGCAGATGGGGAGATAGCTTCTGCAGTGGGACCGGGAGGTGGGGCTCTCTGCTGCCCTGTGACCCGGCCCCTATCTGCACTAGGTCCCCTTCCTTCCTAGTGCCCAAGGTGGGCCTCAAGCTACTGCTCCTGGCCTCTCCTCCTTGCCTGCTGTGCTGTGTGGTACTGTTCAGAGTTCCCACTGGCTAAGGGGCCCTGAAGGGTCTGGCACCTTGAGCTTGAGTTTCTTTTTTTTTTTTGGTTTTTCTCCAGTACCGGAAACTGAACTCACGACCTTGCACTTGCCAGGCAGGCGCTTTTGCCGCTGAGCTAAATCCCCAGCCCCGAGCTTGAGTTTCTTTCTGGAGTTGGAGGGCGGCCAGTAGCTGGGCTGGGTGCTCTGGTTCAGTAGAGGGTGCAAGAGCTCTGCCGGGACAGAGCGGACTGCTGCTTGCTGAGTGCCTACAGTGAAATAGATGCCTTGTCTCCTTCTGAGGGAGGGTCTCACCATGCTGCCTAGGCTGGCCTGAACTCCCGCCTCAGCCTCTGGAGCAGGTGATGCTACATACAGGTGCATACCGCCAGGTCTGGCTTTCGGTCTCCTTTATTGCTGCAACCACATCCATAACAACACTCATTCATTCATTCATTACCAGCTATTAATTGGGGGCTAAGTGCTTGCCAGGCCCTGTACCTGCGGATACAAGCTTGGAAAAGGATACAAGCTCCTACAGCCCTGGAGGGCACGGAATGAGGTGTGGCCGCAGTGACAGTTACACTTGGGAGGTGAGGGCTGTGACAGGGACACCGAAGGTGCTGGGTGAACGCTGGAGGTGATATAGGGTAAATAAGTGAAACTTCCAACCTGCTAGGTGTCAGATACATCAAGCTCATGTTCCCCAAAACTGAAGAATGAATTCTGAGGATCAGTGGAGGTTAAGAGGAGGAGATTTTACTGAGGGAGAGACAGCTCCGGAGAGACAGGAGGGGACCCAGAAGGCGGGTTGCCGAGGACTCCACTTCACAGAGGTAGTTTTACAGAGACAAGATCAAGAGGTGGGTACAAGGTTATGATCAAGCAACAGCATTAAAGTATAGTCCCATGGGTAACACTGATCCATTGAAGAAGCAAGTCACGTAGCAAGTGTACAGAGGTGACGTCATTGACCTTGATCGATAATCTGTAGTCTCACTCTTGTCTTTAGTCTGTCTTGGTGGGAGAGGATGGCCCATCCCTAATGAGATCATGTTTTATTTATTTGGGAAATCTCAAGCTTCCCTTTATCTCTTAGGGAAGTAACTCTGGCCATTGTGATTTTTGGGTTTTTTTTGTACCAGGAATCGAACTCAGGACCTTGAGTTTGCCAAGCAGGTGCTGTGCCACTGAGCTATAGCCCCGGCCTGCCACTGTGATTTTAATCTTCTTCAGATGCGCCTACAGCCAGAGTTGTGATGTGTTCTCCTCTTCTGCACTGACTGCCTCGAGGACCCAGCCCTGTCTGACAGCCTAGAACAAATAGTTAGTTCTACCTGATGTAGATGTCTGTAGTAGAGGGACAGGCAATGGAGCGGCCTTTCTGGAGTGAGCGCCATGTGGGTGTGGAGGGTGAGGTGGGGAAGAGGATTTTCCAGGCCAAAGGAAGGGCACATATACTTCTTCATGTAGGCTACAGCAAGCTCACGGTCAGGCCACAGTGTACTCCATGCAGACAGACCTAGAGAGCCCCACTGAATGGGTTGAATTTTTCCTAAAGGGATGAGAAGCCACAGCGAGCCTGTCCACCAGGACAGAGGCAGAGAGGAAGAGCATTTGGTTGCAAGGCGTAGAGGAGATTGGTTAGTGTATGGACTCAGAAACTAGCCTGGATCTTTACAGATGAAGGAAACTGGAGCCCAGAGAAGTTAAGTAATTTCTCCCAGGCCTCTCAGCTTATAAATTGCAGAGTTCAGTTGGGGGCCCAAATCTGACACCAACGCTTTGCCCACTATCCCGTATTGCTGGGCCTGTGGCAGGAGGTGTAACGAAAAATTCACCCTGCCTCCTGGGAGACCAGACTGTCACCACAGACAGGAGCCTGGCAGACCAGGGCTGGCAAGGGGTTCCGTGGGAAGTGCAGGCAGTGAGAGTCTAGGAAGAGGTCGGGGTGCAGGGGTTACTGGGAATGCATTCCCCCTGGAGAGGTCAACTTGGACCTTGAAGAATGAGTAGAAACTTCTTGGAAAGGAGAAGAGTGTTTCGTGATGCAGGCAGGAAGAAGGACACTGAGCCCCAGGGTGAGAAGCAGGGCATGGTGGCACATGGCTATAATCCCAGTACTCAGAGAGGCTGAGTCAGGAGGGTCACAGCAAGTTCAAGGCCAGCTTGGGCTACGTAGTCCAAGATTAGTCCCAAGTATATAGCAAGATCCTGCCTCAAAATAAAAATAAGAAGAAGAAGCAGGGAAATACGGGTGCCTTAGGGTGATCACAAAACCGAGAAAGGGCGGCAAGTGTGCCGGCACAGCCAGAATGTAGGCTTGCCAGCAGGCAGTGGAGAATTCGGAGCTCTTTGAGCAGGACATGACCCAAGAGTAGAGTCCAAGGCCACAAGGGAGTCTAATCTGGTGCTCCTGTGATGACATCTGTGGGAGAAGCCAAGGCGTAGAGACCCTGTCACTTGCCCAGTGTCCTTCACAACTGTCGCACGTCCTGCAGAACGCAGTCACTTCCCAGATGCCCCGGCCAGCACGGCACCCTGTGCTGTTCGGTGCTGCGCATTACAGTGGGAAAAGGTTTGGCGGGGTGGTGAGGCCGCAGTGCACTTGAACTCCGGTGTCTCAGTTCTGTCCCTCTCCCTCCCTGTCCGTCTCCCTTCTCCCCGGTGCAGGTGGCTTCTGGCTGGGTGTGGACCAGGAAGGGGCCGAGGGCACTCTGTCTCTGCTGGGCACCATCTTTGGGGTACTGGCCAGCCTCTGCGTGTCACTCAACGCCATCTATACCAAGAAGGTGCTCCCAGCCGTGGACGGCAGCATCTGGCGCCTGACCTTCTACAACAACGTCAACGCCTGCGTCCTCTTCCTGCCACTGCTGCTGCTGCTGGGGGAGCTCCGGACCCTCTGGGACTTCGCCCAGCTGGGCAGTGCCCACTTCTGGGGGATGATGACGCTGGGCGGCCTGTTTGGCTTTGCCATTGGCTATGTGGCAGGACTGCAGATCAAATTCACCAGCCCGCTGACCCACAACGTGTCGGGCACTGCCAAGGCCTGCGCCCAGACGGTGCTGGCCGTCCTGTACTATGAGGAGACCAAGAGCTTCCTGTGGTGGACCAGCAACCTGATGGTGCTGGGCGGCTCCTCCGCCTACACCTGGGTCCGGGGTTGGGAGATGAAGAAGGTTCAGGAGGACCCCAGCCCCAAGGAGGAAGAGAAGAGCGCTGTGGGGGTCTGAGCTCCTGCGGGACCCAGGGAGAAGACCCAGGTGGCGCTGGAGCGGCACAGAAGGCTGTCCTTGTGGCCAGAGGGTGGCGTGGCGCGGAGTGGGCATTGTTTACAGACCTGACGGGAACCCTGTGGCTGGAGGGGGAGCCAGTGTTCAAAAGGAATGTCAGGAAGTTGCCAAACCTGTCTATCCCCGGCCTGTTTCTAGAATATCCCACCTAGCAGAGCACCCCCGAGCCCCCTCCTCCCCCTCCCAGGGCCTGTCTACCTCTACTTCACCTCCGGGTTTGCGCTGGGCAATATCGGTGAAGTAAAGCCTTCGCTTATACTCAGGGGACATGGGGTGTGACCCCATCACAGCCTGCTGAAGGAGACTGGGAATCCCCACATCCCTGGGCCCTGGGCGGACAGCATGGCTTTGGCCCCAGCCTGCTTTGTGGGGGAATGTGGGCAGACTGAGGAGACAGACCGATGCCCCTTCCCCTCTGCCCTGACAAGTAGATTAGAGTTACTTGTACCTGTGACTGACCCGGGTCAGTCACACCCAGGACTAGGAGTGGAGATCAGGAGCACCCACCCTGTGCACCCCGTGTTTGCAGTTTCAGAACATGGGGAACAACGTCTTTTACAGGCTAAGTAGGGTCATGAACTCCCCGACCCCAGTGACCCTGCCACGGCCCCTTGAGTCTCCCAGGACCTGACGCAGCCACCTGGCTCGGGGGCCACCCTCTGGAAGTAGAGCTGGGGAGCTGGTTCTCCGCACTCTGCCTCCCCCAGAGCCTCTGTCTCGGGTGCTCAGCGCCGCACTCCTGAGTCTGAGCCTCTTCCGCGATGAGCTGATAAACACATTTCCCTTCCTCCCTGAGGTTGGGGTTGAAAGAAACTGCTTGTCCCAAGCCTTAGTCCCCTGGGCTCTTGTAGTGAAGTACCAGAGACCAGGGTGACAAGGGGCAGGAGCTGGGTTCTCAGAGCCCTGGAGGCTGCAAGTCCAAGATCAAGGCCCAAGGGACTGGTGTCCCTGGCTCGTGGGTCTTCTCTGAGTCCTCAGTGGTAGAAGCGCAAACTCCTCCCTCAGGCCACCTCTAAAATCGCACAATCCCCATTTGTGAGGCTATTCCTGTCACCTAGTAACCTCGAGGGCAAGGACTCTAAAGTGAATTTGGGGGTGACACAAACATTTAGGCCAAGCACCCCTCTGTCAGCCTCTGTACCTCGGGGTGGCTTTCACTCCGCCATCCCTTCCATTGGACATTTTGTACCTCCCATCTTAGGATGGTTCCTAATGTTTTTAGTCCCTGTAGTGAAAGCTGGGGAGAGTGGATCTTCTCCCCAGCCCCTCCTTCCTGCCCCCCACAATCCCAGGTGATTTCAGTGAAGTCCTGGGGCCTGACACCCCATGCTGTGTGTGATTTAATAAAAAGCCAAAGGAAATAAAAAAAAAGTCAGAGGAAGACATCCTGCTGTGTGTGGACTGAGTGAGGGGGTCGCAGACCAGGAAGGCACTTCTAGGGAGAAGCCAGGGATCTCTGCAGGGTGGGAACACGGCCCTGGCCGGGAGCAGGAATCTCTTAGGACACTGGGTCCATCAAAGCCAGGGCTGTTTCCTGGATGGGTGGCCAGACTTCCTGTTCCATTTTAGGACCAGCTGCCACCTGCCGGGTGCTGGCCAGGGACTACACTGCTGAGTGCCATTGTTCACCACAGCCTACCACACGGTGTGAGGTAGGGCTGCCACTAGCCACCCACTTTTTTTTTTTTTTTTTTTTTTTTTTTTTTTTTTTTGTCTTTTTAACTCAGGGTCTCACTATGCAGTTCAGGCTGGCCTTGAGCTCACTTTGTATCCCAGGCTGGTCTCAAGCTTGCAACGATCCTCCTGCCTCAGCCTCCCAAGTGCTGGGATTACAGGCATGCACCACCATGCCCAGCCTAGCCACCCATTTTATAGAAGGTGACACTGAGGTGCACAGGGGACCACAGGGAGGAAGAGGAGGCTGCAGAACTCAGAGATCTCAAGCTTCCACAGTGTCCTTCCCTAGACCCAGCGTTGTTTGGAGCACCTGTGTACCAGGCACTGTATTAATATGAACCCCCATCTGTGGGATCCTGGAATCCGGCCTGACCTCGGGCTTTGCTCTGACAATGGAATGCAGAAAAAATTGGCTTCTCCCATGAGCCATCTGGAGAGCACGACAGCCACAGAACAGGGTACAAGGAGGAGAATCATGACGTGCCACCACTGGGGTAAATGCAGCCACGGGAGTGTCCCCAGGTAAGGCCAGCAGAACTACCCAGCCAACCTACAGGGTCTGGAGACGTTGCAACTTGTTCTGAGTTTTGGGGTAAATGTTATATTCAAAAAATGCTGTTCGTCATCAAATTTGTTGAAGCCCCTTATTTTGCAGCTGAGAAAGCAAAGACCCAGAAAGGCTAAAGGAGGTCACCCAGCAAATTAGTGGCTGAGCCTGCAGTAGAACGTCTCTCTGATCCTAATCCAAGATGCTTTCTGCTGGTTCAAGGTCATGTAGCTGATTAGCTATTAAGTTATTATTTTAATTAAGCAAACACAAACTTTACCAGCTATTAGGCACCGTTGAAATGCTTTACAAGTATTATTTAATGCTTATAACAGGTATATAGAGGACTTTACCATCCTCCAGCTCACAGATGAGAAACTGAGGCACAGAAAGACTGAATAATTTGTCCAAGGTCACGCTGCTACTAAGTGGCAGAGCTAGAAGTCAAGCCCAGTTAGTCTGACTCTCAATCATAAAACCAAGCTTCCCTAGGATACAAAGTTATTATTTTCATGGTGTGGTAACCATCCCACCACGTAAGCAAGGAGAGACTAGAGATGAAAAGAGGCGGGTGTAGTGGTGCGCAACCTGTAATCCCACTAACTGGGAGGCTGAGGCAGGAGGATCACTGTGAGTTTGAAGCCAGCCTGAACTACATAGTGAAATACTATCTTTTAAAAAAAAGCCTAAGGTTAGAGTCAAAAAATCTGCAGCCAAAGTATGCACTGCTATGTGGGTTTAGCCAGATCACTCTTACGGAGTCAACAAATGTGAAACTTAGAAAACTGTGTCCCCAAAGAACCCATGACTTGCCCAGTGCATTAATGACAAAACAGTATTCAGCTGTCTGATTTGTTTCCCACAATACTATGCAACTAGAGAAGCTGCCTGCTACAGCTTGAATGTGTCCCCCCAAATTCACACGTGGCAAACAGCCCCCATACAGCAGCGCTAGGAAGTGGGAATTCTGGTCACAAGGGTCCCACGCTCATTAAAGGGTTAAGGTCATTATCATGGGAGTTTGGCCACTACTTTTGGAAATAGATGTGTGTGTGTGTTATTGAGGACTGAACCCAGGGCCTTCACACTGAGCTACATCCCAGCCCTTTCTAAAAAAAAATTTTTTTTAGATTAAAATTATTTTATGTTAAGGTCTCACTGAGTCACTAAGTTACCCAGGCTGGGCTCAAATTCACCATCCTCCTGCCCCAGCCCCCAGAGTGCTGAGGTGACAGCCTATGGGAGTAGGTTTCTCACAAAAGCAAATCCAGGCCCTCTTACACCCTCTCTCCCTCTACCTCTGCCCCTGCCCCCGCCATCTCTCTCAAGGCCCTCACACAGGCTGACCCCTCGGCCTTGAACTCCTAGCCCTGAGAACTGTAAGGAGGAAGCCTCTGCCATTTATGAATCAGCCACAACAGCAACAGCAGAGGAGCCCGCTTACAGCAGAGGAGCCCGCTTCCCGCCCCCACATGGCCCTCACACACCCCCCACCCCCCACCCCCGCACACCTTGGCTGCTGTGAAAGGACTAAGTTTAGGACCTGAAACCTGAATGGGACCTGAAATGGGGACATAGAGCATGCAGTGTGGAAGCAGCTGGCCTGGGGGTGCTGCAAGTGTAGGAGGCTGTGAGAGGGTGTGGGGAGGCAGAGGAAAGAAGCACAGGTGGGCTGTCCCTGACACCCAGTGGGGCATCACTGACAGTGGAAGCCACATGCCACCCCAGACTCCTCGCCTCAGCAGAGCCTCACCAAGCCAGGGTCACAGTGTGATGGGGCAGAACCGGGACCAGAGTCACCCAGAAGCTCCTCCCAGGGCACACAGCAACAATAATCATTTATTAAAGAATTGCCAGGCGTGGTGGCGCACACCTGTAATCCCAGCATTCGGGAGGCTGAGGCAGGAGGATCTTTTCAAGTTCGAAACCAGCCTGGGCTACAAAGTGAGCTCAAAGCCAGCCTGAATGGCACAGCAAGACCCTGTCTCAAAAAGACAAAAAAAAAAAAAGAATTACTGGCTGGGCATGATGATGCATACCTGTAATCCCAGCCCTCAGGAGGCTGAGGCATGAGGATCACCAGGAGTTTGAGGCCAGCTTTGGCTACATAGTGTGTTCAAAGACTACACAGTAAGACCCTATCTAAAAAAAAAAAAACCTAAAAATAATGATAAAAATAATTACACTCATTAGCAGTAGTACAATTTGTTGGGTACTCACCACGAGCCAGGTGCTGCTATAAGCACTTGCCAAGGATTCTCATCCAAAACAGGTCTGGTAACGTTGCCGTCTCACAGACAGGAATCCACAGCACAGAGACACTAGCACACAGAGCGGGATCCCTCCTGACAGTAGATGTGATCATTGGATAGACGCTCACAGCTGAAGGAATGGTGAGACCCTGTGCCTCTGCCACGTGGTCTTGCAGATCAGCTCTGGGCTCTCCATGCAGCTTCTAGTCTGCTGGGTGAGAGAAGCTACACTAGCAGCAGCTGGAGATGCCTGGACACTGTTGCCATATTCACTCTTGCTGACCTCATCAGCTAAATGCATCTCCATTATAGCCCAGCATGGTGGCGCACGCCTGTAATCCCAGCACTCTGGGAGGCTGAGGCAGGAGGACCACCATGAATTCAAGGCCATCCTGGGCCACATAGTGAAACCTTGTCTCATTGAGGACTTAGCCTTCAGGATATTAGTCAACCTCAGGGGAGATGACATTCACTTATCATGGGAGTGAATCCCTAGTGACAGCACCACTAGGACATCCAGTTGTATAAATGAAGAGAATCTGGTGAAGGCAGGCAGTGAAGAGGAAGAGGACAGGGAGCCACTACTTCACTCCCATCACTGTTGCCCTTTGGGCAGGTGGGCCTTGTCTCAGTCCCTTTTGTGTTGCTATATCAAAGTACCTGATGCTGGGAAATGTATAAAGAAAAGAAGTTCATTTGCCTCGTGGATCTGGTAGGTTAAAAATCCAGACAGCTTGGTGTCTGCCGAGAGCCCCTGGCTCCGTCACCACATGGTGATGTCACATGCAAGAGTGGCAGTGTACAAGAGGTCACATGGCAGGAGAGAAAGCCAGAGACAGGGAGGGCCCAGGCTCCCTGTGGCAGAGCCAACCACTCTCACAGGAGCTAACGTACCCCCGGGAGACCCAGCCCACTCCACAGGACCAGCGTTGATCCCGTCACCAGGGCAGCCACAAGCCAGTCAGGGCCCACTCAAATGTCCCATCACTTTTCAGTATCATTCCACTGGGGACCAATCATCCAGGACACAAACTTTTGAGCAATAAATCATATCCAACAATAGCAGCCCTAGGCAGCTAGAACCTCCAGCTTTTCAAAACTCTGAAACCCTAGGTACAATCTCCCGATTTTTTTTTTTTTTAAATCTCTTGATTTTTAAGCAAGGCTCCAATTTGTAAAATGTTCTGTGGGCTGCGTGACACATATAGGGGCCAGCGTTGGCCTTGGGCCACCATGTCACAACTTCTTTCCTAATATTTAAATTCCAGGGAAGCTTATCGTATCTGCAAGAGGTTGAATAAGACACAGGACCTGTAGGCACAGGGGCCGGCAGCATCTCTCTGAACCAGGGGTAATGTACTGTCCCCGTGGCCTGTCCCTTAACATTGTGCCTTCTGTCTCCACCCTCACAGAAGATGAGCTCCCCAGAGGAGGTCTGTCTGCTGCTTGCACCATCTTCCAGTAGCAATTAGTCAGCATTCCCAGCCCTTGAGCATGAAAGGTTCTATTCCCGGATGAGCTATGTTCTTGCTGTGGGCAGGAAAGCCAAAGAAAACCTAAGAGTTCTGCGGTTGCTTTGGGTGTTGATAATAATAGCACCAGGACAATGATAGTAACAGAGCCTTCTGTTGTTATAAAGAATATTTGCAGAGGACTTCACAGTTTATTTGGAGAGCATGAAAGAGTGAATTCTGTCACATCAATTTCCTCCCCAAGTTCCTAGATGGTCAAAATCAGGTTAATGCCGGGTGCAAAAGACAACCACTTGGAACCAGCCGTGAACAGCCATTGCGGCTCATTTATGGACAACTCCACTTCCTGGCCAAACAGCCCTGCCTGAGGCCAGGCCCTGCCCCAGCCCCAGGCATGAACTGTGATTGGTCTAATTCATATCTGTCCTCCCCACACA